TAATTATGTTATAATAATATAGAAAACTATCTAGTTTCTGAATTTGATATTAGCTCTCCACCTCAATAATCAAATTTTCGTTAATATTTTTTATTTTATTGTTGTTAATGGGAGTGGAACAAGAACTATCAAGAATTAAGGCTCAACTTTCTTAGTCAAGAAAAATTAACAGAAATGCAAAACAAAAAAAACGAATATTTATAAAAATAATTTATATAATAAACAATGTTCACTATATTAAAAGTTTCTATGTAATATTATAGAATTTATTCTTTTATAAATTTACCACCTAGTAATAATAATTCATTTTTAGATTCTCTGTTAAAGATATCGAAAAGAATTAGCAAGAAAAAAAAAGAATGACACTTTATTTGTTGGAAGAAATTCAATTAAATATCATAGTAGTCAAAGGCTGTAAGCTGAACTACCAAGATAATATTAATGGTAATAAATGTACAAATAAAAAGGGAAAGTTTACTGAGATTAGTAATTCACGAATCAATTATGTGGTTTCTACCACATTGCTTATTCTAGTAAAATATTATTATATTATGATACGTAGCATTAGATTAGAAATTCGCCATTCTTAATTCGGAAATGGAATCTTACATTATAATGTCTAATAGTAAAAAAGATCTCATTAATCCAATTCAGATGAACCTTTAGATAATATTATTTAAATAGCTTTTGTTCAAAAGAAACCAATAATAGTAAATAAAATTTCATTGCTCCATAATAAAATTATAAATTATATATCTATAAAGTTTGTATATCAGATTCAGGAAATGTTCTCTAGAGTGTTGTTTATAATAAAAACATAGTAAATTTACTATAAGCTTTAAACTAAAATCTTTTCAACTTAACAAATTAAAATTAAATTTTGCAATTACTATATGTAGAACAAAAGAAAAAAAAATTGAATTTGTAAATTTTACAGTTTTTAAATATGTAACTTTATCAAAACCAAATATTTATCAATTTTAAAATAGAAGTATATGTAAAATTTTATATTGAAACAAAGTTTACTTAAGCAACAAAATAGGTTATCTTAGTAAAAAAAATAAGTTAGCTATGTACTATAGTTAAAAATTACAGATTTTTTATTCTTTTTTGAACTCTTAAGTAAAGTTTGTTCAGCACTAAATTTTATAATAATGATAAAGGACAGAATTCATTTTTTTAAATATTTTACTAAATAAAAAATTAGATCAAAGTAAATTTTTTTTACAAAAATATTGATCTAATTTTTTGCTTAATAAACTATTTGAAAAAAATAAATTTTGCTTTTTATTATTGTTATAAAATTTGATGCTAAACAACTTTACATAGAAGCCCAAAAAGATTGTTTTAGAAAAAAAATTATATATACAGTATAAACTAAAAATTTTAATACAAGCATATAATAGCCTTTTTTTTTTTTTTTTACTAAAATAACTATTTTGGGCTTCTAAGTAAAGTTGTTTAGAATCAAATTTTATAACAATAACAAAAAACAGAATTTATTTTTAAATATTTTACTAAGTACAAAATTAGATTAAAATTTTTGTAAAAAAATATTTAGTACTAAACAACTTTACTTAAGAGCCCAAAAAGGATTCTTTTAGTAAAAAAAAAAAAGTTATTACAAAAAAAAACTATAATTTTTAATTTTGGTATATAGCTAACTTATTTTTTAACTAAGATAATCTACTTTGCTTAACAGTTAAGTAAACTTTGTTTAGTATAAAATTTTAAATATATTTTCTTTTTAAGTTATTTAAAAACTGCAAAATTTGCCAAATTAAGCTCAATTTATTTTTTTGTTCTATATAATTGCAAAACTTAAATTTATTAAGTTAAAGAAGATCTTAGTTTAAAGTTTATAGTAAATTTACTATATTTTTATTATAATTTTTATTATTAAACAACATTTTAAGCTTGTGTACTCCTTGTAATAACTTATTAAATTACTAATAAAGATATAAGCAAAACCTCACCTTAATACCAAAAAAAAAAAAACATTATAAGCTTTTTTTAAGAGAACATGTCCTGGAACTAATATTTAAAGAAATATTGTTTTAAGGCAGTCCATGTCCCAGCAGCACCTGCGCATATTACAGAGGCAGTCGTTGCAGCTTTTATACCAGCTTGATTTACGTAAAAAAATTAAAAATAATTAGCAATGAAATTTGCTTAGTTTATTGATATACCGTATTTTCGCGGAATAACGCGCAGGGGCGTTATTTCGAATTTTAGCCCAGATTAAGCTCAAAATTAGAAATTACACCCCTGCGCGTTATTCCGCGAAAATACGGTAGAAGTTTTTTTAATTACCAGTAGATTTAAAGATCGCGCCTATTAAAGCACCGGATGCGACGTTATTTACAGCATCATGTCTACCCCTCATGTTACTAATTATACCATTGATAGTGTTATAGCCCATAGCTATTAATTCACAAGAAAATACAATAAAATAAATAATAACTCAATCATCATTATTTAGGATATATTACAAAATATTTTATCTTATACCTAAAATTCCACATGAATTTCCAATGTAAGGACCGCGTCTGGTGACAGAATTAAGTACCGTATTTATTCGTAATTTGAAATTAGGTGTATGTCCACGAAATCCTTCAATCAAACCCCATGTACCACCAAAAGTTAGACCTACATGTGTCAAACGTGTGAATTTTACAAAACAGCTCTTCAAGATCGTTTTTAAACAAATTTACGCGGATTATTGATAGTACCAGCTAAATATGTTGTTCCTGTGCCATAACATAGATCATCCATTACTCCTCGACTAGGAAGTGCACCTGGTGTGATCCCCTGCTCATCAAACTTTATATAATCAACTGCACCAAGGCCCGCTATCTCCCTTATTTGTGCAGAGTTTAAGTTTACTCGGCCTAAAAAATCTGATACTGCTACCGGATCTTGCCCAAATTGATCTGTTGGAGACTGGTAAGTTCGCTCATCATGAGAATTAGGCGCGTCTTTTGCGAAGCCCATTTTTTTTTTTTTTTTGTTATTTCAAAATCTAATCTATGAATAAATTTGAGGTACAAAGTCACATGATTTAAAAGACCGATGTCCAGCTGATTGGTTGATTAGTATTGCTTTAATACCGGCCCAATTCCCGACCCGGAATTTTGGGGATATCCTCTGCGAAGGTTAGTTTTTTTTTTTTTTAGAGTTTAATGGTATGTTTCCCAATACCAATACTGTATAAGTCACGTTTCTGCTGCTTACTTTAGGCTTCGTCTTTTCGTCTTTCACCATTTCGCCAGGGTTTCGTCTTTCGTTAGGGAGCTTTATCTTTTGCCATTTATAAAAATGGTTTCGCCTAACAACTATATTAACAAATCAGCATTAAAAAGAAGTTACAATGAAATAAAGATCGATGCACCATGGATTGAAACTCAAGTTATTACCTCTTCAGAACCTGTGTCAATTAAAGATATCGATAACGACATTGAACGTGAATTAGCATTGTTTGTACAATTGTATCATTTTGTCAGCCTTGCGATTTTTTCTTAAATCTTATAAACAATTACAATATTTAATTGTGGGCAAACAATAATAGTTATAAGCAAGCCCTTGAAGGTGCAATCGAGGGACGCAAAAATGTTATTGCATCTGGAGTATCGTTCTCAAGGCCAGATGATTATTTTGCTGAAATGGTTAAATCAGATGTACATATGACAAGAATACGACAAAAATTAGTAAATGAAGAACAAAGTATTAAGGCCAGTGAAGAAGCGAGGCGTCTGAGAGAATTAAAGAAATTTGGTAAAAAAATTCAAGTCGAAAAAATTCAAGAACGGCAGAAAAAAAAGAAAGAAGAACTGGAAAAAATTAAAGTCATGAAAAAAAGTGATATATCTTTAATTCCTTTTAGGCAGAATTTCTTATTATAATTATTGTTATTATAATTATTATTTAATATTCATAATATATGAACCTTAGAGCGAAAGGGCATCGAAGATACTGCCCTAGATGACGATTTTGAAATTGCACTGGAGCAGGCTGCGGCTGATGATAGACCAAAGAAGAAACAAAAGACTGGAAAAAACGCCAAACGTGTTAACAAGGTATTTATTTAATTGTATTATAACCAGTGTTGGCAACACTGGACCATAGAACAAATCAACATTTTTGCCACATAAAAATTTTTATTAAAAAAATTTTGCAATTCTTTTAATACATTGTTTAAATGGATATTTAAAAAAAAAACTATAAAGTTTAATAGTAAAATTTTCCAATGGGACAATGGAATAGAATAGCAAAAAAGCCAATAGAACAATAGAATTGCCAACACTGATTATAACCATTTTACACATTAAACTTTGATATAACACCCAATTTATATGAAAAGGATGCAAGGTATGGGTTTGGTGGAAAAAAACGCTATGCTAAATCAAATACGGCTGATTCTTCCGCGGATTTTTTATCACAATTTGATTCAAAGAATGATAAAAGTTTCGGTGGTAGGAAGGTAAGCTTTTTTCAAACCTTTATATGAACTCTTTAGATATTCTATTCAATGAATTAATTATGATATTACTATAGGCATCAACGGCAAATAAAAAAAGAAAATTTACGAAGAAAAGACCAGGAAAAACTAGACGTAAATCAGCAAGAAATAAAAAGTGATAATTAGAATATTAGCAAGTTGTTGTATAATTTACAAATATGATCGTATTCATTTGTTAATCCACTTTTCATAAGTGTCTGTAATAAAAAAATTTTAGTTTACTATAAAAAATCCATTTACATTTGTAAAATATTTTGAATTCTACTTTACGTTGTAATTTATTAATCAAAAATAGTTCATATTTGTTGAAAAAGTAATTATTATTTAACGCTTGCTAAACGTGTTATATGATAATAAAAATGGCGTATTTTAAATGATCAATGCATTTGTAGTTATATAACGCACAGATTTTAGTAAAATTAGTAAAATTCCTAAGGTTAAACCTAATGAACTCAAAAAAAATGTTGCTTTTAAAGGCCTCCGCCCCCACCTGGATTCGAACCAGGATCCTTTCGGTTAACAGCCGAACGCGCTAGCCGGTTGCGCCATGGAGGCAATTATATAATAATTGGCAAAAATTTAAATTCATATTAATTTATTTAGCATATTTAGTATATACATTCAATAAACGGATGTAGAAAAAACCTGTAAATCATACTTTTTTGAATATTTTTCATTCAATAAGATATTACTGTATTACAATAAAATCTTAAATGTTCAAGATACCATGTTTATTACAAGTAAATACTTGAAAAGCATAACTTACTACAGGCTTTTAAAATGTTAATAAGCTATAAATACTATTTAATAAAATTTTTTTATTTAAATTTTACAAATTTATAAATTTATATAAAAAAGTTTATTAATTTTATTAAAACGTTGCCAAATATTTTAATTAAATTATATCAAAATATAAGTTACTGTATAACAAAATTTTTTATACTTTTAATCAATATCTCAACTATAAATTTTTAATAATATTAATTCATTAATATAAAATACAAAATACTGAATATTTTATATAAAAAATATATAAAAAAATCAATTTAAATATTGACAAGTTTGTTTATATTACAATTTATAAACAAATTACTACAGTATTATAATTTTATTAATTTATAGACAAATTTATTTGCAGGTTATTATAATTAATCCTATCAAACTACTGTCGTAATCATATCTCGATTATTTTAAGCTACACAATAATAATAAACTTGCAAAAATTTATTAAATTCAACTTACCGGTATCAGTACAAGATAGAAAGCAGTTTTGGCGAAGTTAAAATAACTAATATAAAACTTTTTTATTTTAATATTAAACTTTTTTATTTTTATACATGATTTGAATTATTTTATGTCGCGGCTGATGCTGAAATTTGGGCCCTCGATTTGAAACTATAAGCCCTGCTAAAATCCACATATACTCTTTAAATATCAAATCTACCCAAACCCTACCCTAAACCCTATAGGACAAAAACGAAAAAAACACCCCAGAATAAGTCAAAATTTCAGCATCAGCTGTGACGTTTTATATAAAATTAGTAATATAACATCTTGTTTTAGAGTGACATTAAATGGGATTATACATAGTATCAAAATGCATAAATTTTAGAGAAGGGTAATTTGACGAATTGATGATATCTTGTATGATCCAGTGATCAGAATCGAATAATTTTTTTACCATTCGATTCTGATCACTGGATCACTATATATCATCGATTATATTCTACCCAAAAATGATCCTTAAGAGGAATTTGACGAAGTGTAAATTTGAAAATAATCTATGATATCTTGTACCCAGTGATCAGAATCGGGTGAGCTTTGTACCATTCGATTCATCCCATCGAGACGAACTGAATGGTATAGAAATTATTCGATCCTGATCTTTAGGCCAAGAGATATCCAAATTCGTCGGATTACCCGAAGACCTTATAATGCAATTTCTAATAAAGTATATGTGGTTTAATAATAAACTGCCGCAAGTAAATTAAAATTTAGGGGTTCTCACCATTTTAAAACCTATTAACTTTCTATTAACAATTTTAACCTTAATTCTAAGAAAGGTGCTTCACAAAGAATTTTAATATAAAACTTTATTTTCAAATTAAAAAAAAAAAAATCAAAATTTTATTTATGATTGTTATGATAAAGTTGGCATTAAAATCGCTTGAAGTGGAAGAATTTTTAATATGCAACGATTTTGGCTCGCAATTATTGTCGCGGGCAATCTTGAGATTTGGGGTCTCTCTTTAAATATATTAAACCTACTAAAATCTCCTATACTCTTATTAACAACTCTAACCTCAAATCCTAAAAAAAAAAAAAAAAACTAAATCCAAAAAATTTAAAATTTCATATTAAGATGGTCTAAATCTCATCATCAGTCCAAACCAATTATTTTCATCATACTTCCTAAAAATTTGATGACGCAGTCACCGCCAACAGATATATTAGTTTCCAGAGCAAGATAGTAACCCCAAATTTGCGCAACTCCTCGCTTAATAAGAGATACTAAAGCGTTTCTTGAAGCGAAGAGAAGTTTTCAGAGTTGGAAATTTTTTGAAGCTATTTATTTTAAACTTATTTGATAAGTACTGAAATATATGCAAATGAAACGAGTTTCAAATTAGAAATTCGTAGACACTAAGTATGAGTTCGGATAAATGGTGCGTTTTGATTTTCTAATATTACATAAATCCTATACCTGTCAATGATTAATGCATGTGATGCAAAACAACTGCGTTGAATTTTTTTTTCCTTTTTTTTTTAATCTTCTAACTCAAGTCGCATGCGAACCTTATATGATAATATCAAATAATCAATCATGATCATCTTCATTAATTCCAGGACATAATTGTTCTAGCTCTTCAACGTCACCATATTCACATCCACACCAAAAACAATAATTATACTCTTCTCGCATATATTTTAAAACACAATCAAGTTTCTCCTCCGGCTAGTAATAATTTGAACAAAAAAAGACGTGACATAAATACCGTGTATGATAAAAAAATATGAATAAAAAATCAAAAGCACAAACCGATAGTTTTTCAAATTCCGAAGGTTCTTCGTCGATTTCTTCTTCATCTTTACTTGGCCAGAAAATATTGTCCTTTTTAAAAAGGATTTTGGTTAATTATAATAACAGTGAATAAGTCACAGTTGCAAAGCATTATTGATTTTAATGTTACCATTACACCCTGTTATATCAAAAATTCAGATTTAATTTATCATGAAAAAAACTAAGAGAATATAGCAAATCCAAATAATTCATACCTTTCTTGTATCTAAAGTTTCACATACTCTTTGTGCTTTACTTAGTTGTGCGTTAACCTTTTTTTCAACTTGTCCTTGGCGCACACGTTCGATAAATGACTCCTCGTTAATTTTTGCTCGTTTCGTTTTTCTAGCAAGTTCCTTTTCAGCCTTTTGCTTAAGCTCGGAAGACAATCCTAAGCCAGATTTATCTTCGATGAATTATAGATTTGAAGTATGTTATTTATACTAATCTCGATTTGAAATAAGACAAATCGACAATGATATCAATACCCGATTTCATTTCGATGTTTATTGGCTCTGTAATTCCACTAGAATCTTTTCCCAGCGGCTTTCCTTTTTCGTACCCCATTTTTTTTAATAACCTTAGCCCTGGGGATTCTGCATTATCTTCCTCATCTATGCGTTTTGAAAGACCTTGCTCTCGGCTTTCCTTTTCCCGCTCTCGTAAGGGTTTTATATAACCAGATTTAGATGAGAGCTTTTGACGACGGAGCTCCGAATAAGTTTTTGGCTTCGTAGTTAAAGACGACGGTAGCTCCGTGAGGTACTTCGAAGACATATAATCATCGTCGGAATCGGCCAAATTTGACATTGATTATCGTTATGCTAACTTGACGCGCTTTTTTTTCAGTTTTTATCGACCTTTTGAATTTTTTGCTTTGTATTAAAAAAACTGCTGCTGTACAATTTTTTATAGATACGATCCAGCGATTTTTACAGCAGTTGTGATATCCTTCATATAACCGCCAAAAACTTCATCAAAAACGTTACGACACTGGTATGTTACGCAAATTTTGACTAAAAGAAATTCACGTGAACAAGATTGAAATTATCAATCGGTGTATCAGCCAATCAAATCAAACTTGGTCAATGTCAGTATACTATATAAGCCACATTTCTAACTGATCATATACGGTATCGTTAAAAAATGTTTTCATCTACCAACGTGGCACGATCTTTCTCAGAATTTCGTTTTTTATCAAAGCTTCAGAGGCTTCATATTTCTTTAGAGGTTTCGCCTTTTATCGGAAGTTTCGCTTTTCGCCGGAGGCTTCGTCTTTCGCCAGGAACTTCGCCTCTCGCCAGGAGTTTCGCCTTTCGCCGGGGTTATCCCGTTTCTCCAAGTGGTAGTTCCGAGAATTATCCTAGAATACAGAGACAACGTCCAGGTGACTGGATATGTAAAAGTTGTGGTATAAATAATTTTGCATATCGAACAGAATGTTTCGAATGCGGTGAAAAAGTTCAAAACCGAGAAGTAGCACCTGGTGATTGGATCTGTCCAAAATGTGAATTCTATAACTTCCAAAGTCGATTGGCTTGTTTCAAATGTCATTCGCCAGCTCCAAGCTTTGAACAAAATCCTAATAAGGATCATCAAGAAAATTGAAAACGATGATTTTATTTCCAAGTCTTTAAAACCAAAACTTGAATGCCGAGAAATATACCTGATGATTTTAAAAGATAGTGCAAAAACTTTCTAGATATGGTGATTTTTTGTTTAAATTATAACATCAAAGCTTATATTAATAAAAACGCATATACTTTTACTATATAATAGAACATTAATAGTAAAGTATGTCAAATTATTTTCTATATAATAGAGCATTAAGAGTAAAATAAGCCAAATTATAATAAAATTTTTTTAACATTTCTTTATTTTGGGGTTTGTTTATCTTTATTGATAATTTTAAATTAAACCTATCGAATGATTTACTGGCTTTAGTTTTTACCACGCTTAATATTATGTATAATTAATAACGCAAATTTTATACAATGTACTGTACAGTACTTCCAGATTAGAATAGATTTTTTATAGTACTATTTTGATCAAAATTATCATATTTTCATATATAGGCTGAACCTAATGGTTAATACGAATAATTGTGGTGTATGAGCAAAGAAGTTGTGTATAAGATATTAAATTTGCAAACACGTTGGTTGATGATACCACAACTGCGTATAAAACAATATATCGTGTAACATATAGATAACAGTCACACGATATGGGCTTTGCTATCTTTGCTATATCTTAAAATTTTACTCTGTTGTGTAACTAAGCAAAAATGCTGCTTTTGCAATTTTACTCTAACTTTAACTTATATCTTTGCTCTATAGTTTCTTATTTTGTCTTCTATTATTACTATAAAATGCACAATGCATTATTATTATTTTTTTTTTTTTAGGATTTTGGCAGTCTTGCCGAAATCTAATAGATTTATTATTGCTAAAAATTCCTTTTTAATACATTTACAATCCCCAGACTTCGACCTCAT